GAGGCCAGCAGGGAAGACAGGCAGAGAAAGGCAGAGCTCTGATTTTATCACTGATTTATCCAAGCCTCGTCCAGGAAGCTTGGATTTCCATCGTGGAGCTAAAATTTCCCTTTTGTGGTTATGAAGGGTTGAGCTAGGTTTCCGTCACTTGTTCAAAGAGCACTGACTAATAGTAATCACTGACATAGCTTCATAGGAAATGAAATAAAACTAGGCTGGAAAATCAAGGTATGAAACTACATGCTTATCTTTTTTTCAGGTGAATTCTTGATGATAGGGTTGTGTCAGGTCAGTATTTTCATAAGGATTCCAAGCATAGTTGGCTGTGTGCATTCTGGAACCAATGCCTACAACTCCCAGGCACATTTTACCTTTGGGTGGTTATACAGTGTTCCTTAAGCACATAATTCCCTAGATCTCCTTGAAGTGAAAATTAAAATTGCTTTTTACAATTTGTCTTCCTTGTCAGAAAACAGGGCCAAGGGCTTTTAAGAAGGGGAGCTACAGTTCTGAGACTGTGGGATGGATGACATCACCCTTCTGGGGATGATTTCATTTATGCCCTTTCTGGACACATCTGAAAGCAAACCCAGCCTAAGGAGGGAAGGAAATCTACACACACGGCACTTGATGAGTCTTTGTGTACTGAAGCCTTTATGAGCTGATTGGCAGGGTCAAGTGGCCACTGTTCAGAGGGTGACAAGCTCTGTTAATTGGCTTTTTGCCAGGCAAAATTGCACATGAGAATTTTTCTAGTGAGCCTGTTCTAACACACCCTGCTAAACAGCCTAAACTTCCCTGGTGTGAGCCCCTAGAACATGCCAGAAACAGAGAACAAAAAGCCCCTTCCTGTTGCAGGCTCAGCCCCAGACCATCCTGGTAAATTGCACCTCCAAGTGCAGTGATACTCAGGGCCGGAGGAGACACTGGGGAGAAAGAAAGACTTTATTAAAGTATAACCTTTTGGCTGAAATGAGTATTTATGACTCTTGAAGTACTCCCTGGAAAATATTCCGAACTCTTTTCTGGCAGATTCTGCCACGTATTTCAGATGATTTCTTCTAACTGGAAACGCTTTACCAAGGAAATACGTGTTTCTGTTCCCTGCTTCTGCTCTGTGTTGTCCAGTGGTTGGAGATTAATGCTCTAGTTTCTATATGAGAAGTTTAGGGACTACGCCCACGGAAATATGAAGCAATGCCTATTAGCATAAATGTGAAATGTGACGTGTGTAGAACGGTCCACAGGCCTTGGGAGAGGAGAAAGGAAGCTCTCACTCATGGAGCCGAGCCTGGAGGAACCAGATAAAGCAGGTGGCCAGAACCGCATGGGCAGTGAAAGGGGTGTGTTAAGGGCTGATGGGTGCCCCACCCCCATTCCTATGTTGAAGTCTTACCCCTCAGTATCTCCGCATGTGACTGCAGTCAGTGGCAGACAGGGTCGTTAAAATGAAGTCATGAGGGTGAGCCCTAATCCAATATAGCAGGTGTCCTGATAGAAAGAAATCAGGGCACACACATATGCACACACACACAGAAGACCGATGTGCAGGACACAGGGAGAGAACGGCCATCTACAAGTCAAGGAGCGAAGCCTCAGCAGAATCCACCTTGTTGACACCTTGATCTCGGACGTCCAGCCTCCATCACTGTGAAGAAATACGTTTCTGTTAAGCCACCCAGCCCATGGGACTTTTTCACGGCAGCCCCAGGAGACAAATGTAGGGTGCGGCCCCAAACTGACTTATAGTCATGTTGCTATAAGAGCTTGATCTCCCAGCTCCACGCCCACTGGATGAAACTTCCTTTGCACCAATGCTGCCGGATCTCTTCCCAGGGCTCTAGCATATATTTTCTCGCTGTCATGTCATCCAACTATGACTAGCCATGCCTCTTTATACCAATCTTAATAATGTCTTCCTCTTTTGTGTCTTCACCTGCTGAACATGTGTAGAAATTTGTCAAGCCTTCTGTTAGGTACTTATCCAAGCTACTCATATTTCTCTCTTTAAAGTTCACCATCTAAGTCCCTTTCTTTAATCTGTAAATTTAAATTGCTAATGTGCCCCTTGTCTAGCTGCTCTTTATAAAGTGGCATTTGGGGGTGTTTATCTTTTCAACTCAGAAGGAGAAGTGAAGGGACTGATTGTTGAATTCTTGTTTTCAGCTGCGCTCTTTGAGCTCTGCTGAGACTACTCACTGGCTTAGGGGGAGTCAATAACCAAGGGCTCTGTATTCTGAAGGGCCCCAAATAGGGGCATGGAAATCTCCTTTATGGTCCTGAATATGTGTCAGAGCACAATTCATTGCCCAATTGTTATCCTTAAGTCAACACAAAAGACAAAGAGGGCCAGGGGATGAAAATAATTCCCTGGGTTAGTAAGTATCTCCATGGAGACCAGCAAATGCATAATCTCTATGGAGACCCTCAAAATCTCTCCTTCTGAAATTATAATAGTATATGATCTCTTGTAATAATATGTTGAGGGTGGAGAGGAAGTGACAAGAGGAAGAGGATGAGAGGATAATCCTCTTCTTTCCTTAGCGGAAATTAGAGCTGTTGCAACTCTAAATTTAATCAATCGTGTTACAGTAAAATTCTGAAGTTAGGATCCTGGGAGATGGTTTCTCTAGGATGGGAGAAGAGGCACCTGAGGAGTGCCAGTGTTTACAGACCCAACACTGAGCCAGATGTCTGAAATGTAGTTGGCATCCGAAAAATGTGTTAATGGATGAATGGAGGCAATGAGCAATTGGGCAGGATCTCATCCTGGGCTCAGGCTGTGTCAATCATCTGCTCTGTTGAAACAAAGAGAGAGGGCCACTGCCCTGGGGATACTGGGTAATGTCCGTATATGACTGAGTGGGACCATGAACTCCTATTTTGCTTCTTTCTTCTCTTTCAAGGAGAATTGTGCTCAGTGGTATAAATATGGTCAAAGGAGGAAATGAAGTTCAGTCACAGTGAGGAGATAAACAGGGAAAATAATAGGGAAAAATGAATAGGGAAAGAGACCAACTACTGAATGCAAATCACTGTTTCCAGATCAGTTGTATCCCATTATAATCTACATGTTCGTAGCCTCACTAGCTTCTGGATATGAAGTGGGATTCTGGTTACTTTTTATACAAGATTATTATGGTCCAAGGCCACCCCTCCCCCCCATGGCTTATTTGTTGGAAATAAGCTCATGCAATGTGGGCCCCATGAGTTTCCAATGGCAATGCCTCCGATCAGTGCCCAAACATTTCTGTCCACTTGTCCTGTTTCTTGCTGCCCTGTTATTGCCTGACTGCTAACCCTAAAGAGTTTTAGCGTGATGGTCTCTATTGGTTGATTACAGACTGAAAAAAATCACCTTTAATTCCAGGGATAGCCACTGCTAAATCTTGGTGTACATACTTCCAGGTTTTTCTCTGGTTATGCATAACACATATAACATTATATAGATATGTAAATGATATATTTAAATATAACTTCATATATAGGAAGTAGTTTGAGATCAGGCTATACATTTGTACACTGTGTCTTCTCCCTTAACAATGTATAATGAAAATACTTTTCCGTGTTACTAAATATTGTAATACATCATCATTTTTAATGACTACGTAGTACTCACTGTATAAATATACTATCATTTACTTAACAATCTCTGTTAAATTTTTAATCTGTTCCTAGTTTTCCCACAATTATAGCTATCCCTGCACTGCATCTTTTTGTATCCATTCTTGAGCCCCTCTTAGTCCTAACCTTAGGCCATGTTACTGCAAGGAGACTTTCTGGGTTGAAGATTATGAACATTTTAAAGATGCATGCTCTTGCTTGTTTTGCTGTTCATCTCTTTATGTACCCATTTATTAGGGACACAAAGCTCACACAAGATGGTGAACTCTTAGGTATCAGGGTTCATGCTTTTCTTAACTTTGTATTTGCCACATTCTCTTCACAGTACTTGGGGGAGGCAGGGCTTCCCGACTCAGTGATACCATAAAGGTATCTGAAGGTATCCGGGACTTTGAGGAAAAACATGCACGTTTCCAAAGGGAAAGTGGGGATTAATTTTTAGCACCCCACTCCTCGTCTGATCCAGAGCACTAGAGGGAACAGAAATTCTCAGGATACAGTGACCCCTCGGAGTATAAACACCCCTTACGTCGCTGGCGGACTTTGAGAGTTTCCTCCAATTGTTTATGATCTCTGGGCCACTCGCGTTCGTTCTGTACGTCCAACCTCACGCAGCACGGATGACTGCCTGGTCCCAACAACCCGAGGTGCAGCACATCAGTCAGTGGCTGTTACTGTCACCGTCAAATGAAATACTTTCTGGGGCTTCTTTCCTCTGTAGTCAGTCGGAGAAGAGGTGACTCAAAAGTAAAGGCAGTACTGGTCCCCAGAGGGGGCCTGGAGCTTTTGCGGACAGCCGAGATGCCGAGAGAGGGCCGGGGATAAGTCTAGACACGGTTTCCTTCGATTGTCTTCCCTTCCTCCTTGCCCACCCTCCACGCCCCCCTCCCCCATTTTCCCCTTTCTTCTGGGTGGACGCTCCCGCCTGGGTCTGGAGCCCGGAGATGGTGGGGTTCAGCCCCCTCACTGCTTAGCTGAGCCTTCCAAGTGGGGCTGTTTTCAAGCAGCAAAAACACTGGGAATGAACAGCTCTCGACCTCTCCCCTCCCGGTTTCCTCCTAGGGTTGGCTGGAAACTGCACCCGGACACCGAAGAAGCTCCGCCCTGGTAGTTTTGAACTGGCCACAGACCGAGGACCCTCTGGGCACTCTCCCTCCCGAGGTCTCCCCGCCCCAGACTCTGCCCTCGGGGAGGTCGCCTGGAGCCCATTTCCCTGGGGACAGATGGAGCGGGGTGGGCTTGCTTGGACCAGGAAGATGGCAGAGTTCAGAGTTGGCGCTCACCGCTCCCTCGTCGCCCGGGCCCCCTGCGCGCCGGACCCGGGCCGGGAGTGCGCGGGGTGGGTGGGTGGCGAGATAGGGGGGAGGCGGATTAGGCAAGCGGCCCGGCCCCAGCGCCCACTCAGTCCCCTCCTCCCTACGCCGGGCGCCGGGGCCGAGGCCCCCTCCCCGCACTCGTGCGCCGGCCTCCTCCCGGCCCCGCTCGGCCGGCAGGGAGCGGGGGGCAGCCGGCGGGAGGCGCTCGGACCCCCGCCAGGACCCCCGCCCGCCCGGCAGGCGGCGGCGCTGGCTGCGGCCTAGGGCGCCGGGCGGCCGCGAGCCTCCTCCCCCTCCCGGAAGCGCGGGGCGGGGTCCCCGGCCGGGCCGCGGGGGCGGGAGCGGGGGCCGGGCCGGGGCGGGGCGCGCTGGGCTCGGCGCTCGCGGGCTCGGCGGGCTGTGCGCGCCCACTCCGGCTCCAGGCGGCCAGCGCGCGCGGGCCCAGGCCGCCGGGCTCCAGCCGAGCAGCGGCGGTAGCGGCGGTAGCGGCAGCGGCAGCGGCAGCTCGCGGCGAGTCCCCGCGCCCCTCGCAGCCCCTCCCCGGCGCGGCGCATGGAGACGCGGCCCGCAGCCCGCCGCTGAGCCCGCCGCCCGGCCCGGGACCCGCCGGGGCTGGGGTGGCCTCAGACTCCGACCGGCCCCCGCCGAAGCCGGACTCGGGCTTGGCCGGCCGCCCCCGCCGCCCCCAGGGCTGCGCGCGGCCCGCGGGCCTCGTCGCCCGCGCGGATCGCCGCGGCCCGGCCGTCCCGTCCCAGGAAGTGGCCGTCCTGACCGCCATGGCTCACTCCCCGGTGCAGTCGGGCCTGCCCGGCATGCAGGTAAGCAAGAGCCGGGCCGCGAGGGGAGGGAGGGATGCGCGGGCCGGGCGGAAGCGGGGAACTTGGCGGTGTAAACACGGGCCCCCCCTGCACGCTGCCCCTTCCGGGGTCGCGCGGGCCTCCCGCGCGGCGCTCCAGCCCCCAGGGCGCCCCTGCCCGGCGCCGCGGCCCGGGGCTCGGGGGGTGGGGGTGGGCGTACGGCTGCGGGGGCGCGGCCTGGAGGCGCCCTCGCCGGCCGGGAGCCGCGGTGGTCTGGCAGGGGTGTGGGGGAGGCGGCCGCCTCGCCCTCCCCGCCGCCCTCCCCGCACGACGCCTGCCGAGCTGCAGGCCCGGCGCCGGCCCGCTCCCCGGGAGAAGTGATGGGGGCAAATGCCCTTGGAGGCCCCGACCGGGGCTCGGGGCCCGGCGTGCGGGCGGGGGGCGGTCGAGGCCCCGTTCCCCCGCGAGCAGGCGATAAAGTTGAGAGGCCGGAGGGGAGCCCCGGGCGCGCCCCGACTCGTCCTGGGCCCGGCCGGGCGGAGGAGGCAGGGCGGGGTGAGGGAAGGTGTAACCGCCAGCCCCACTTCCAGCGCATTTGCTCCGCGCCTTTCCTTCTGGTGCCAACTGAGGGGAAAGTGCGAGCGTGTCAACCTTCTGGAAGGAGGGAATCAGTCGGACAGCATGTACTCCAGTGTCCCGAGCCGAGGTTGACCCGCCCGATCTAGGGACACTGGGCTTTCACTTGGACACTTGATTGGATCCAGACGAGTTCCTTCCAAGTAAACCTCCCGTTGATAACTTTGTGGCATCTTGGCTTACCAGTGACTTTTGGGGCGGGGGGGAGTTGAATTTCAAATGTGCGTGCTAGCATTAAAGTTTTTTCGCCTTTGGGGACTGTTTTTAGCCCTTTGGAAAACAAAACCACTTGGCTCTGGTTAATTTGTCGTATTTGTTAAGCGCACAAATGGTGGCAAAATAATTAGGATTAAAATCTCACGGTGCAGTTAAGAGGATGTCTCTAAAGTTTTGCTGTCCCAGTTTAGTTGAGCGAGTGAACATAAAGAGCTTTAAAAAAACAACCCCGGTATCCAAGTGGATTATTTGTTGTTTTACAGACATCAGCGAGCTCACTTTTTTCTTCTTCCCTTGCTCTTTAGGGCTGAGAAGTGCAGTGTTTGGACCTGGCATCTTAGGGGCTGAGACTTGAATCTGCCCCGTCTTCTGTGGCAGATCATCCCACCCCACCCCACCTCACCTCACCTTATCTTTTTTTTTTTTAACCATAAAAAGAAAGCTGGGCTTCATTATTCAGGTTTGAAATCTAGAAAAATAGGAACACAAAGCTACCAAAATTTTATCCTGAGGGTTTTTTTTTTTTTTTTTAAAGGAGTAACAGTCAAAGTTAGTATCTTGAGTGTACTTGAAGAAAACTGCCCTTGAATCTCATCTAAAGAGCTTTTAAACTCAACACACATTTAAAACCTAAGCTTCTGCTGACTGCTAGGTAAAAATCAGATGTGGTTTCTTGGTATTTCTTAAAGTTCCTCCTTCGCGTTGGTTTGAATGGAGAGGCAGGAAGGCACGGTGAACTGGGTGAAAGATGATTCCTGAGCGGAGAGCAAGAAGGATCTCTTGAGTTGAACATTTTTTCTTTCATCAGTATTTCCTTTAGACTGACTTATACCGTGTTAATCAGGTTGTAATCTAGGACAGATGCCTCACTTAGAGGTTACGGTGGAGGTATAAGGCCTTTGTGGAAAGTGAATCAGTTTGAGGAGGTACTTAAAGCCCTGTTGGCTGGTGCCCTGAAGTCAGTATCAGTTGGTCACCTGGTGGTGGTGTCTGTTCTCAACATTTTTTGTCCTCACTTTTTTTTTTGGTCATCAAGAGGGTGGGTCAAAAATCTTAGGAAGAGGAGGTAAATTTCCATTTCAAGGGAACTGTTTTTGTTTGGTTGAGACCACCAGATTTTCAGCTGTCACAGGTTTGGGGGGCTGTAAAAGGTGGCTTTGACCATTCCTGTCTTTAAGTCCATCTACAAACTGTGTAATCGTGCTTAGTATGCTATTTGGGGAAGAACATTCCTTTCCTCTCCCTTCTCCCGAAAAGAAAAACAACAAGCACATTTATTTTTCTTCTTTGAATTAACAGTTGTTACTGGCCCGGGAGGCTTTCCTCAAAGTGGATTTAAATTAAATGAAAGGCATACCTGCTTTTGACTGTAATCTAGGATAAAACAAGAGAGACGTGCTAACCCTTCTGTGCCCTGTCCTGATACCTTTGTCCCCCCCTCCCTTTTTTTGTTCCCCTCTCTCATCTTCTGAACAGGGCTTATAAGGAGTTGGGGTAAAGATTTCGAGAAAGACAGCAGAGTGAATTCAGGCAGCCTGAATTTAAGTATCAAAGATATTTAAAAAGTAAGCCTGAAAGGACATCTTAGTATAAACACCATTTTTCGTTGTGTCGCAAATCATTTTTATGCCTCTAGATTTTTACTGGTACCTCTGGAGGCAGAGATATTATTTATGCTGTCTTCTGGATGTGAAAGCCAACAGAGACTAATTGAACTGACCAAGGACAGGGAGTATATTAGCTGGCAAGCGTGTGATTTGAAACCAGAACTTTCCTGTCTCCCAGACTATGCTTCTACTTACCATGCTGCCCTGTTGTTTTATTATTAACTTTTACAAACATTAAAGGTTTTTTTTTCCTTTCCAGTTTGGGTTTGCTGAAGAAATACGAAAAATTAGGAATATGAGATTGATATTTTATTTGATCAGGAACCATTATTGAAAATTTATGTGCCAGATCCTAGGTGAGGGGTGGAAGACATCCGAATGAGTTAATATTTGTAATAAATGTTTAATGAAGGTTGCCAGGGGCCTTTCCTTTTTTACCTCCCACATCCCAGTTTCTTACTAGCATGGGGAGAAAATAAAAAGTCATGAACTGAATGTAGTAACTACAAATAGACATAAAGAAATTAGGTTGATTTGTGGAAGTATGTACTCCGTGTCCTTGGACATTTGTTGTTTCAATCAGTTTAATTCAGATTTGAAGAAAAGCAAGCTTCAGTTGGTGGTAGGAACACTAGCCAGCTTTTAGTTTGCGAAAATTGTAATTTAAAAAGAATTAGATTTTGGTTTATAAATTTCTCTTGCAGATTTTTATCAGTCACACCTAAGCTTCCAAGGTTTTTTGGTTTGTGACCCGTGTAAGAAGTATATTTTACATCAAGATCTGAAACAAAAGTTTCAGGAGACAGCCCTGATCCTTACCACTTGTGATGCCCTGATGTTGTGTCATGTATTTTATTTAAAAAAAAAAAAAGGAGGTGGTCGCAACACTAAATTGATTTTTACAGCTGACTGGTTTGACCCAAGTTTGAAAAATACTGAATTAGGTATGCCACATGTGTAGGACAGCTGAGTGAGTTAGCATGTTTTGAGGATGTCCTTAATTTAGGATATTTTCCTATTTGAAAGTACAGGCAGTTTACAGGAATAGCTGGGAAACTTAGTTTCTACTTGGTAAGTCATCCTGCCCCCTCTCTCCCTCTGCATTGATCTAGTTGGTTGGAGAGACCAACCTTTGCTGAGAATGCCCCTTTAAGTTGGGATAGCGAGAAGGACATTGAACAGCCAGTTTGGACATGTTGGGAGCTTTCCTCAAGTGCTCTTGCTTACCCTGGGGAAACCTGTGTGCACTTGAGAATCTGGGAAATGAAGGAAAACAGAAGGACAGCTGCATTTAATTGTGGCTTCAGTGCTCTTGCATTTTTTTTTTCTTGTTAGTGTCACATTGCCATAGTTTTTTTTTTCCTGTTTCCATGGAAGAGACCTCTCCATGTTCAGCGTGTTGCTGTCTGCACCCTGCGGAAAGGTTGGCGTCATGTTATGGTGTGTGGACGTTCAGGGTATTTGTGAGATGGAGGTTCTGAAGGCACCTTGAGGGAAATGCTTTAGTGTGGAATGGGGTCTAGGGTCTTAGAACGTTGGACGAGATGGGGAGCCCACATGCACGCAGCACGTTTCTCTGTGGAGTGTGGTGCCAGGACCTGTGAGGGGTGGGTGAGAACCTCCCTGGGCCATGTGCTCAGGAAGTCAGCAGCCCAGTGAGAGCTGATCTCAAAGGGGTTGGAAAGCAGGTTCATGTGGGGCTAGCCTGGACCCCAGGGCTGGAGAGGCAGCAGGGGCTGGGGAAGGGGGCCAGCTCTGGCTGGGGTAGGGAAGCGCTGAGTGTCTTGAATTTTAGGGGTCCTGCTTCCCTGCTGTAGGTGGAAGGAGTTGGATTCTGGGGCATGCTGGCAGTGAGAGGAACCCCAGGCTGGTGAGAGGAGGGGCAGACAAGACTGAGTGGTTGGAAGTTCAGGTATCAGCCGGATAGCCAAGGTGGACTTTTTTCTTTTTAAAGATTTTTTATTTTCAAGTAATCTCCACCCAACGTGGGGCTCCAGCTCACAACCCCGAGATCGAGAGTTGCATGCTCCATCGACCGAGCCTACCAGGCGCCCCTCAAGGTGGACTTTCTAGCAAGATTGACTTCAAACGTTGGTAATTTGAACTCTCAGCGAACATTTAACAGTCTTTTTTTACGATCTCCAATCTCCCCTGCTTTTGACCCTTTTTGTTGTTCTATGCTAAGAGTAATAACGAAAATAAAGGCACGGTTTTCTGTTACTGTTAGTTGCCTAAGTATTTTATTTAATAGCCATTTCAATACTTCATATTCCCTCTTTTCTTCTGTCCCCAACATTTAACAATGTTAATAATTTGTCTTGCTTAAAAATGTATTTTGGGGGGGCAGTGTTATAAGACGATTTTTTTTTTTTAAGATTTTATTTATTTATTTGCAAGAGAGAGAGAATGAGAGAGAGCACGAGAGGGAGGAGGGTCAGAGGGAGAAGCAGACTCCCCGCCGAGCAGGGAGCCCGATGTGGGACTCGATCCCGGGACCCCAGGATCATGACCTGAGCCGAAGGCAGTCGCTTAACCGACTGAGCCACCCAGGCGCCCAAGACG